ATTAGCTTTTGCTCATTGTGAATGTTAATGCATTAACTAAGGTTAACTAATGAGGTCTTATTGTAAAGTGATACCTATTGGTCTTTATAGTTCTTTTGCACTTTAATCTGTGTAAAACTTTTGACTTTATACATTTTTCTGTATTGCTTTATTGCATTTAAATGTTCAGTTATTTTTGTTATAAGAAAAATGTTATTAAACCTGTTATACTGTATTATGACAGCACTTTTTAAAACTAAATTTCAATATCGTGATAATACAGCATACCGTGATAAAAGCATTAGCAATTAATCGCAACATGAAAATTTGATACCGGCATATCCCTAGTCCTGAGTGCCACTGTCCTGTCGGGTTTTGCTCCAACCCTAATCAAACACACCTGAAAAAGCTAATCAAAGTCTTCAGGATTAGCTGAACATAAGAGGCAGCTGTTTTTGATTAGTGTTGGAACTAAATGCTGCAGGAAAATACAAAGTATGCAAGCACTTCTAGCTATGAAAGCTAGTTGACGCATTTTGCAAATACACATTGCTTTTCCATCAATACCACTAGGGGTACTACAGCGCTAACAATCTTTTAATGTCAGTTTTCTCATTCGAACAACTGTTTAAAAAGACATGCTGAGCAAGTTGAAAGTTGCTAGTTACTGGGAAAAATACAAAAATTGGTAAATTTATCATACCTTTTGTAAAGAGATTTTTTTTAATTGCCACCAACACAACAGCACCCTTTAAGTGTCCAACAGAACTCACAATGTTTTTGGCCAAACATTCATGTCTATATAAAGTATTTTTCTTGCCTTAAAACGTACTTGAATCCACTGTTTGTGTAAATGTAGTGCACAAACACAACTTATTTAATAGAATGTCCACAAGTCGCGGAGACGTCTATTCTTTATGAACGAATGTTAGTATTGAATATATATATATATTAGGGGTGGAACGGTTCAACTTACTCACGGTTCGGTTTGTATCACGGTTTTTGAGTCACAGTTTCGGTGCGGTTCAGTATGTGCTATGTTTAGGCAAAAACTATACTGTCAAATAAAAATAAAGAAAATAAGAATAATCCATCTAACTACAAGAAACAGCACAAATAAATACAACAGAGTAAAGATACAAATAATAAACAGTGATTTTCAGTTTTTTTTTTTAGGTAGGTCTAACATTAGTTTTCAGGTACAGAAATTGAATAAAGTAATGAAATGTAAAAGCACATTGCATATTTGACTGTATAAATTAAAGATTAATATTTATTAAAGTTACAAAAGCTATTCAATCAAGAGCAGTGAGTGATTTCTTTGTTGTTTCTGTTTGATTAATATTAAGAAAGTGCTGTCACTTTAAGAGAATGCACTGATCCAGTGTACTGATACAGTACGTTCAGCCGGCTATGTCTGCTATTGGATACTTACCAAGACGGGCATTTTGACAATTTTTGTGTGAATATGTATATTTAAACAATACTTCAGAGAAAGCTTAAAATTTGCGCGCGTTCTGAGCACAAATCTTCTCACTGCATGCGCGAGCTTGCGTCCTCTGGCTCTAAAATGTTTAAACTGGCAAAGCTTAAACTAAAGCGAGTTTTTTGGGCAGTGTAGAGTAGCGCTTGTTGTTTGTCATTTCTCCGATCACAAATGCAGACATGCAAATGTTTACGCGGCACGATGCAACACAATGCGTAAAAAAACATTATAAGTCATTATAATCCATAATTATGACCCCCACTGGATGCAACAAATGCCTCGTTTATAATTGGTTTTAATGTTTTTGTCTCGTCGCTCCGGCCCGGACATGGCATCAAAATATGGTAAGGGGAGTAACATTTAATGTATTGGGAAGCCAGAATGCACATCCACCAACAGAAACATATATCAGCCAAAACCTGTTTGTTTTACGTGTTATTTATATAGCAAACCATATTACAGATTCATTGTCAGATTTAAGTTGAACCGCGGTCCTAGCGAATGCCGAACCGTGTGTGGAGAACCGTCCGGTTCGATTTATTTCCGCGAACCGTTCCACCCCTTATTTATATATATATATATTTTTGTACAAAATAATTGACAGATGTTGTGGCACGTACTTACTGGGATTTAATGTTTCCTATGCATTTACATTGCCAAGACATCTAACTGATGTGTGTTTTCATCATTTTAGAGTGTATTATCATCTGTAACATTAGGGCTGTGCAATTTGGGGGAAAATATCAAATAGCGATTTTTTTGACAGATATTGCGATTGCGATTTGATTTGCGATTTTACATTTGCAAAGTCAAGCTTCAGCTCAATATTGTCAATAATGTGCAGCACAGTATGGGTATCATTACCCTGCTGAAAAAAAC